TTAAATAAGTAGTTTGTACAAGGTGATTATGTGGCATCAAGCTGATGTCAACCCTTAGTGATCACAGACAGATTTCCTCCATGACATTTTCCCCCAACCTGGTCCTACAGTGCCCCCATCACCACTGTAACTAGAGTCCATCCCCCTTGCCGATGCTCTTCTCTTTCCTTCCACCTTTCCCAGCATCAGAGCCTTTTCCAGAGAGCTCCTGGTCTTCACGTAATGCGTCCAAAGCAGGATAATCAGTGACTTGAGTGGGAACCCTGAGTTGATTTGGTTGATGATCCACCGGTTTGTTTTCTTGGCTGTCCACGGTCTTCGCAGGAGTCTCTCCAACAGCAAAGCTCAAGAGCGCCAATACTCTTCCTCTGCTGCTTCGTCAAAGCCCAAGTTTGGATTCCACAGAGGGCCACGGGGAAGACCATGGCCTGCGTGATTCTGACTACCGAAGGGGCACTTCTCCAGCTATGAACCTGTCCAAGTGCTGAGAACCGCAGGAGATAACAGAGGCCCTTGCTGCCAGTTTCTCTTGCACTGTCCCCAGTTCACAAGATGCAGGCCTCTGTCCATGTTTAAAAGCAGTGTGAAAACCCATCTATTTTGCCAGAGTTTTAACTATTAAAATATTTTAATAATTTACCTCATTAACCTGAATCTGCATTTTTAATTTTTTATGCTGCTTTTATTTTAAAATTCTGTTACCTGCCTCGAGGGCTCGCTAGAGCCAAAAGGAAGAGGATAAACCAACTAAAGAGAAAAATAAACAAACATGTTTGCCAGTATGGAGACTTTGTTTGGTTAGTATCTAACTTCCTATTGCACTTTAGAATAGGCAAATAATGCATGATTATCCTTTGAAATTCATATTTCCAGTTATTTATTATATTAGGAAAAAGGCCTATGAAAATGCATTAAATTGTCTACGTAAATTAAAAAAAAAACCTCGTAGTGACCTGAGAATGGGATAATCCGAATCTGAGATTGGGAAAACAGGAAACGAAGAGACCCAGAAACGGCCAGATCCATTCATCTCCACCAAGAGCTGCTGACCTATTTCTGGACGCAGTTCAGAGCGCAACCTTCAACCACAGAAGCTCCAAAATGAAAAGTGTGTACCGAGAGGTGGATGATGGGACCTCCATCAAAGTCTGAAAGTTTTTCACATCACAGTGGCACGGGGAGAAAAATAAAGATGAAGAAAAACGATTGAAACTTAAAAGGTTAAAACCTCGCATGGAGCTGGTCAGGTTGAGCTCCCCTGCATAATCGTTTCAACGGCTAAAATCTTGCAAGATATTTCAATCTGGTAAGATCTGTGCAAGGTTTTGTCCTGTTTTACTTTTAATCTGGGGGTTGGGAGATGTCTGAGGTGTCCTCTAATTTTGCTGTGTCTGCTGCTGCCAAGTAGCAACCAAATGACTCCCCACGCTTGCCCAAATTATGGTGCTGAAATGTGAAAAACTTCATTTTAACAAGGAGCAAAGGGACACCGGCTCTTTCGTGAGGACGGAGCATGAGCTGCATGTGTTCTGTTCCAATTCAGAGCAGGGACTCCTAACCGTGCCCTCTGCAGAATTCTACAAACCCAAAGGCGCCTACTCCTCTCCAGCGGTGTGCCAAACTCGGAGAAAGTGCAAAGCTGGGGTGTTTGGCTGTTTTAAAGGGCAGGCAGAGTGAGTGGGAAGGGAGAGCTGCATAATCAGCTTTTTTTAGAGCAGATCCCACCCGTGCCAGGGGGGCTGCAGAAGTGACGCTACTCCGGTGGAACGAGGGAATCCTTTAATGACTGAAGCACAGCATTAAAACGATGTACAGAACGGAGGGGGAGAACTCACTAGAATTACCAAAAGTTTAGGCTAAACGGCAACTCATACATTTACATATTTACATATACATAGGAAAGACACGTGCAGGTTGTCTTGGCCAATCCAGCGGCAGAGATTAGGTCCCGCCCCCGTCCCCCTTGTCCTCCTCCTTGTCCTTCTTCCCGTCCCCCTCGCTCTGCACCTCCTCGTCCGCGTCCCTCCGTCTCTTCCGGCTGAATACGCCGGGCCGATTCTTCAGGAAAGGCAAGGGCTCCATTCCCAGGACTTTGTGGATCTGACGGAACGCCAGCATCCTCAGGGCGTGCTTGGGAGGGAAAGAGGAGGGTTAGGAGTCCAAAGAACTACTGTGGTTGTGCCTGTTTGTCCTGGGGCCAGCTGAAGTGACCGTTTAAACAGGCAGACCCTGCTCAATATGCCATGCGGGGCCGCTTTCAAATCCTACATCAGCCCTGCTCAGACCCTCTACCTGGCTGCTTGCAGTGACGTCCTCCCGCTCCTGCCAGGCCATGCTCTGCAGGGCATCCACGGGCTCTTTCTCGCAGGGATCTTGAAGGCCAGGACCGTCTGGAGGGGAGGAATGGACCAGGCGTTACACCGTGGGGCAGGGAGGAGCCCCACCCACACCTGCCAGGGCTTTCCTGGCTACAGGGAACCTCTTTGGGGGGGGCTCCTGGGGCTTGCTGACTCAGGGACAGGCAATTTGGAGGGCAGGGGCTTGAAAGCAGGAGAAGCAGTAAGCGATGACCTGGACACGGACCTCGGGCTCTGGGAACAGGTGGCTTTCACTCGGAAAGAAAAGGATGGGCTTTGCTGGAGCCCCTCCCTGCCTGCTTTTGGCTGCGCCCTGAAGAGGTTCAGAAATTCAGCACATCTATAGGAACAGGCACTGGAGGGGGTTAGATCAAAACCTTTTTATTTTAGCCACCAACCCCATGTCCGGAGCCTCATTCTGGGCCTCTAAAGACACAATGACTGGGTGAGCAGAGTTTGGAATTGCCGGGTGGGGGGCGGGGGGAGAAGGCTGGAATGCAGAGGCAGGAGCCTGTAATCCTCCCCTGGTGTAAGAGGCATTCTGCCACTAGGTGACAGCTCTTCCCCTGCCCACTTGGCCACAGACCTGCCAGGAGCATCCCCGTGGCAATGTATTCCAGGACTCGCCGCATGGCCTCTCCAGGCCCCAGAGGCCCCAGGGCAGTGCTGAGGGTCCTTTCCACTAGCAGTTCCATAGCCTGTTGGGCAAGAGAAATGGCGGTCATTGCACACTAGCAGGAGAATCAATCAATACGCCACCCATCGGCTTCCACGGCATTTATTTCATGGCTTTCAAACATTTCTAGTCCGTCTTTCCACACAAAAGCGCCGGCCTGGGCCTTCCCAAAATCACCTACACCCCGATCTCAAGAACTAAGCACGACGTGTGCCAGGATGCAACCCAGGAGGTACCCAGTGGTTTGCAGCAGCACTCTGCGAGTTCTCAAAGGCTTAGCAAGGCCCTCAACCAATGAACCAGCAGCAGAGCAAACTGGCAAGGGGTGTTGGCACACCTCCGTTTTGAAAGGCACGCCAGCTGAGGAAGAGCTTCCCCACCGGAGCCCCCTTCTGTCTCTTGGCAAAGGCCCCTGGGGATCATCCGAGTGAACAGATCAGTTTGTGTGCAAGCAGGTAGCTCTAGGGGCGCAGAAAGAAGAGAGCCACCGAGTGAAGGCGGTGTGACCTGCGACGTGTTCAGGTGTTTGCTTGCTCTGGGGAATTCTCCAAGGGGGAAGGGGCTGCAGATGGAATGCAGAGTGCTCATAAGAAAAAAGAGGGCTTTGAACAGTGGTGCGAAAGCTCGCCTGCTCAACAGGGTCGCCATGTACAAGGGGGGAACAGGCGTGGGCTGCTTTCCTACCAGCCTGTTCAGTGGCCAATGTGCAGTGCAGAAATGTCTTCAGGGCAGGCTGAGCCCTTCTTCCCTCTGCCCCGTGGGAAAAGATGGCTTTGAGTCTGCTGCTTCTGCTCCTTTCCACTGTTAGGCTGGGTTCATACAACACACTCAACCCAAAACCTGGATTAACAAAACCAAACAGCTAGGGCCACGTTACCTGCTATGGCTGAAGACAGCAGCCATATTACGGCTTAACGTGATTCACACAACACGCCAAGAGAATAGGTAGGCTCCCACAATACACTGGACCCCACACTATCTAGTCCCCCTTTAATCCAGAAAGTGTGCTGCATGAAACATTTCCCCCCTTTTTTTAGCAGGCGGGTAGAAGGTGATAGCAGGACAGACGCTACAGGGAAAGGGGGAAAGGGGCAGAGAATCGCCAGGCCTCTAACCTCTGTCTGTCCAGCCTGGCCCTGCCTGACAGACAGAGACAACCAGGGGAGAAACCGAGGGCTTCTTTAATGATGCAGTTTACGTGAGAGTAAGGAACTGGTGCTTGGAAAGCAGGAAAGTGAATGAGTGATAATGGAGTGAAGCCTGTAATATATTGTTGTGCTATCCCCCCTCCAACACTGCACTCCAGCCAGAGCTCTTTTAGCAGATGGGCAGGTATATACGTTGTGTAATAAATAAGTAAATAAAAGGTAAATGGATTAAAAAATAAAGCACCGGGGTCTGCGTTGGCACCCCCTTCTTTTGTAAGCGGGAAATGCTGGAAAATCAGGGATGGCCTCTGTGGCACGAATCTCTCGCAAACTGCTGCAAGAGCGTTTCTGGTTGAGGAATGAGGTAAAAATGTCTGAAGGGAAAAAGGCAGAGAGGCTTCTCCTCCAAGGCGACGCTGGGTTCTACCAACCCTGGCTTCCTTTTCCGACTGACGTTCAGCATTCAGGGGCTCTCACAGAGTGCAGACCCTGCATCTTTATCCCTTGTATTTCTGCAAAGGCCAGGGGCAGGGAGCCAGATCCCTCTGCAGCGGCCCATTCAGCTCCCAGACCAGCCGGCACTTGACCGTCCGGGCTTGTGGCTTTGCACGTGGGGAGCTGTGCATTTGGGGTGGAGCTGTGTGATGCAGCACGGGGGCTCCCTCCCTCTTCCTCCTGTTCTTACCCAATCTGGAAGAGCACCCCATGTTGGCACACGCTGACAAAGGTCCCGCAAAACCCTGATGATGATCACGCAGGACTGCAGGCCGTTGGCTCGTGCCTATGGGGAGAAAAAGAAAGCATGTTGTTACAAAGGCCTTCACCTCAGACCCAGCCCCCCAGATGCTCCTGAGGGTCTGGCAAAACCCCCATCTCTGGGCCCAAAGAAGATAAACAGAGGCTTGGGTAAGCCAGCCACTCCAAACTCCACAGCAGAAGCACGAGCCTGCCTTTGGGACCTTCCCCTTCTCAATCCAGCTTCCCCCTGGAAGGGCTGCTGGGCTGCTTCTCTGACCCTACTGTTTGCAGCAGTAAAACACAGGAAGTAGACATTGCTGCAAGTGGGAGATTCGGGCCTGAGTGGAAAGGCAGCACGTGAATCAGCCGTACTGGAATGACTTTGGTTTCCACTTGTAACTAACAGTGGAGTGCTAACCAGGTCCTGGTCTATGATTAATCCAAAGTTTCAAGAAATAAGCCAGCTACAATCCTGGGTGGATGACTGTAGCAGGAATCCTCACTTAAGAGTAACCCCGGCTGAGTAGCCCACAACACCAAAGGGCTGGAAGAGAAAACTTAGGCGCAAATGCAGCTTCTCTGGAGGAAGAGGGGAAGGAGGAGGGTCACAAATCAGTGTGAATGCATCTTTGGCCCCAGGAAGCCCCTCTTCAAAAAATGCTTCGCATCCTGACCCGCTCAAGGGTCACTTTCAGGCCTGGCCAGAAGCCAGAGCAAGGCAGGGATTTGCACTGAAGGGCACGAGAGGCCCAACAACTTGAAAAAGGAACCAAACCAAACCAGACAAGTTCCAAACTTCATTGAGGAAAGAAGTAGTTTGGTTGTTTAAGAAGCTGGGCTCCCTGTAGGTGTCATTGGGGTAGGTTGGGCAGCCAGCACAGGATTTAAAGTTTAGGAATCTGATCCCTGCCTCCAATGACTTCATCTGTACCCCCAAGCAATGGGAACCCCAAAGCCTCTTGGAAGATCAACCAATTTATAGAGGCTGCAATAAATCGTTACAGGCGCCACAACATTTTGATGCACCCTTGCAGGAAACAAGCTGGCCTGGGAGTGTCTCTGAACACCACGGAGGAGGCCCCCACATTTAAAGACTTGCAAACTCTGCTTCCATTATGGCAGCCTCTGAACCTTGTGCCAGGAGGAGGGGTGAGCAATGCATACCTGGCACGGCTCAACATGGCCCCACCCTTTGGAAAAGGACCCCCGGATCTGATCCTTCCCTCCCTCCTTCGCCTTTCGGATGCAAGCAGGCAAACATCCCTGGGCAAGCTTTGACTCTTCTTACCTGAAACCACTTGGCATGGCGAAGGGCAGCCAGCGACTCCAGGCATCTGTCTTCGTTTAGGATTTCCGGGGACTCCAGTTGGGATCCTGCTGATGCTTCTGAAAGGCACAGAGAAAAGAAAGACAAAAAAGTAAAAGAGGGCAGATCGTTTTGGATCAGATCCATCAGAAGAAAATACAAATTAACCAACCAGCTGGCTGGCTGGCGAACCCAATGTTTCTCAACCTTGGCAACTTGAAGACGGGTGGGCTTCAGCGCCCAGAATTCTGGGAGCTGAAGTCCACCCATCTTCAAGTTGCCAAGGTTGAGAAACACTGGACTAACCTAACATCCAGCCATCCATCCATCCATCCTAGTCCATAACCCTATCACAGCCACAGGCAAGTGGATTGGTGATCCTTGTTGCACAAAGCACTCTAATTTTCTGAAAAGCAGACAGGCACTTCACAAGGGCTCCACGTTGCAAAACATGGTTGCTGCCTATGCCATCTTTAACCCTCCTTCCACTCCCTCCTTCCTCTGGCTCACCTGCTTTTTTCTGACCAGTAGGTCAGCACACCTGTAAACAAAATGCTGAGGTGCAGCTATACCCCCCTGTATTCTTTTTTTTAAATCTTGTTCACTGAATTAATCAATAAAACAAATACTGTATTTTTATAAACGAATACATTACAGGTAGTCCTCGCTTAAAGACCGTTTGTTTAGTGACTGTTCAAAGTTACAATGGAGCTAAAAAAGTGACTTACAACCGCTCTCTGAAGTTACTATTATCATAGCACTCCTGTGATCACGTGATTGCAATCGGGGTACTTGGCAACCAGCTTGCACTTACAAAGGTTGCAGGGTCCCAGGGTCACATGATCGCCATTTGTGACCTTCCCAGCTGGCTTCCGGCAAGCAAAATCAATGGGAAACACGTGATTCACTTAATCATTGTGTGATTCGCTTAATGACCATGTGATCCATTTAAAGACCACAGTGATTTGCTTAACAACTGCATTGCTTAGCTACCTAAATTCCATTCCCCATTGTGGTTGTTAAGCAAGGACTACCTGTATATACATTTTATTTCATACATTGATACAAACATTTATAGAGAAGATCTATCTATGTAGTTGCTAGGAGTCGAAAATGAGTGGATGGCACATAATCAATCAATCAATCCATCCATCCATATATTTAAATTTATTATATTAATACTATATTATATCATCATTATTATTATTTATAAAATTAATAATATAAATATTCTTGTTTTCTAATAATACTGATGGGATCCAACTCAGTATGAATTCGCCTCCATTGGATCCAACTCAGTATGAAAATAAGACCACGATCGAGGCTAACATTTTGCCAGGACCACCCCAACAGACACCACAGGTGCGCACACACTACTCAATGACAAGCTGGATAAAGATGAAAGAAGGATTCAGTCCTAAAGCTGACATGCGGTAGGTGAACGCTGCCCGAAGGCTGGAGACCCACCTGCATTTGTGGGGTCTCCTTCTCTCATCAGAGGAGAGGTAAGTGAAACTGTGACCTGCATTTTGGGTTCTCTGGATGAGGCAATGACAATATTGGCTTCCTCTGAGTTCGACACAACTTCATAATCATCACTGGTCACTTTCTGGAAATGGAGATGAGAAAGCGAGTCCTATCAACCTTCTCTGGGCACCAACAGAGTTTTCGGAGGGGGAGGAGTCTTGCCTAAGAAGCGTCACCCCACTGTTATCATCCACAGACAACTTCCTCTTAGCTGTTACAAGCTGAAAGCCTAGGCCAGTATCATTTTTCCCAATATCACTGACTTATCTCATAGATGAGATCACATAAGATCTCTTCTGCCCACCCCCTTGGCAATCAGCACCACCCACCTGCCACTCCCTTGGTCTTCATTTCCCAAAGGAGCCCCATTAAGGAAGTTTGATATCTATTAGACGTATTTCTGTGTGGCTGCAATCTAAATCACTCTTGGCAGCTTAGACAGGAAGAATACAACTTTAACCACACCCAGGGCCTAACCCTAACCCCCAGGCCCTCCCTCCCCTGCTGTCCCTTGCAGCTGGCACTCTCCCAGGAGCCACATCAACCTGGCTCCCTAGGAAAAAACCTTGGTATTTGCCTGTGCTATTCTTCCTATGAACCTTTACGATGCTACCTTACTTCCTATTCCTCCGGAAACTATCTTCAAGGCACACCTGGGCAGGATTGGCACAGATTCAAACTGTGATTTGGAACATGCATCAGTGTGCACAAAACCTGTTGGGAAGACTTTCAACCAAACGCCTCTTTTCCTGGGGCCCCCTGCTAGTTACAGATGTGCAAGCCCAGGAAAAGATGCAGCAGCTGCTTTAAAATGTTGTGACGGGTGCTGTGAGTTCATCCACGTTCTCTCCAAACGTTGCGCTTTGAATCTGGGCTTCTGCCCTGCCGCACCCCTGCTTCTCCCATCTCCAGCCCAGGCAAACTTCCTCCTTTTTCTTATGCCCTCCTGACTCTGCCTGCACTGTCTTGTGCGCCACCACTTGAGATTAGGCAGCGAGCTTTGTGACGGGAAACTACAAAATGGCCCTGTGAAGACTCTCTCTCTCTCTCTCTCTCTCTCTCTCTCTCTCTGTGGGCACCTGAGGCTACATGGAGTCTTCAAGGTTCTTCTTTGCTTTGCAACCCCAAGTACAGAATTCTGGTGTCCTACCAGGCCGTTGCGGAAAAAAATACAAAATATGTACTGAGTCTGAACAGAGCCTCAACAAAGTTAAAAACAATGCCAATACCCCTCACAGAAGGAAAAAAAAAGATAATGCTGGTCTCACCCTATATATTGAATCAATTCTACCCACTCTGGCCCCCAAAACATTAAATGCAGCCTCTGAGCCTTGTCTAGGCACAGAGGCAAACCCTAGTTTCCAATGACTGGCAACAGCCGACCCAAAGCAACCCCCGCCAGCTGGGCCCGGCGCATAGGGGTGATGTCCTGCCCTTACCCCCAGCTGCTTGGGCAACTGCTCTGCAATGCTCCGGAGGAGGGCCAAGGTGGGCTTCCGGGCCGACAGCAGGATCAGGCGAACATTCCGGTCTCCCCGCAGCAGCAGCCCCTTGGCTAGGACACCGACTCTCATGACCCCTTTCAGAACCCGGGGCGGCTTGCCGGTCTTTCTACGGGAAGGAGAGTCGTATTAAATGAGCAGGAAAGCATTAAACCAAGCAGGAGCTTCTGGGATGCTGATGTCCTGCCAAGAGACCAGGCGGGTCCCAGGCTATTGTCTTTCACCGTCTAGAGGTGGGGTCTCAACATCGGACCTGCCACTGCTGCTCCCCTTCTTTCCCGTGTGAGTCTGTCAGAATACCGGAATGACAGAGAGCAGACAGACCAGCCCTTCTGAGCAGCACCCTCCCGAGATATGTGGGGACTGATTCAGCCAGTCACTCGGGCAACAAGTGGAAAAGACCGTCCTAGGATCAGTAAGGCCTCTTGGCTGGAGCTGGCCTAGGACCCAGGAGAGCTTTGCTGGAACAACCATGAAACTCAAAATGTATCTCTGAGCAAATCGCCCACTTTCTGCAATAATCTAGGGTTACTGTGGGGGTAAAATGCAGAGAGGGGATGGGAGCCTCTTTCCCCAGGAATTCTTCATGTGACACCCAAGAGGGCATTCCTGCTATGGGGCCTGCTTGTGGCGTTCCCAAGCTGTGGCTGGCACACGGAGCCCACAAGCGATCAGCACCTACTAAAACGGTATTTGCTCACTCCGGCTTTTAGCTGAACCCCTCACTGTTGTTCTTGCTGGTCTGCCTTTAAATAATATAAGCAGTGGTCATTTCAGAGTTCTAAATTCTGTTCGGTCCTCTGCCTTAGGATGACGTTTCAGTGAAAAGCAGGTCCCTATTTTTATAAATAAAAATACTGCATTTTTAATCCCAGATTTAAAACAATCTTTCCCCAAAAGGTGGGGAAAAGGTTATAAGCGTAGACACAAAAACCCACTGCAGAGTTTCCTGGGGGAAGCAAATGTGGGTGGCAGTTAATAGACAGGAAGGCTGCTTTCTTGTACTTATTAGCAAAGTTAGATGGCAGGTATCAGATTATAGGGTTAGGATTTTATATTTGTATCAGTGTCATTTTTACTGTGATTGTAATTAGCATGGTGCATATTGGCTTTATGGATTGGGTGCAATTGTAGCTAAGAGTTTCTACTTGCTAATTTTTATTCTGGTTGGATCACACCCTACAGCAGTGTTTCTCAACCTTGGCCGCTTGAAGATGGGTGGACTTCAACTCCCAGAATTCCCC